GTATCTTATTGGAAAAGAGAACAATATTCTGACTTTATCTGAGGAAGTCATACCAAAGTTACTGACCCAAACATTTTTATTAGCCCCAGAAGGAAAGATATAGTCCAACAGAAAGGTATGGCACAAACAATTAATTAAACCAGACAGAATATTTGCTCGCAAACTCAGTTCCTATTCAGCTCTGCCAACCTATTTATCAGTTTGCACAAGTCCTGCCTTACATCTGTATGATCTCCAAGATTAGAGAAAGAGGAAAATGTCTAACAAATATATTATCAGTCCCTCATGGCTGGGATTTGTGTTTTAGTGAACATTTTCCTTATCTTGCTTTTTTTGGAAGGACATGGTCAGGCATAATCTGAGACTACTGAGAGACCTCTATTTGTGGATACCCAAAAGAAACTGCTTTAACTAGACCTATAAAGGCCACCTTTAATTTCCTCACCCTTTTCACTCAAGATCTGTGGGCTTGGGAAGTTATCTGGATAATCAAAAAATGCTTTGCTATTCAAAGTGCTGTTCAATACCTTAACACAGAATATTGCAGTCTATGTAGAAGGGTTGAATTAAACGTATGCAGAAAAGTGGGAAGTAGCATGCAAAGAAACTAAAGGAAGGCATTATTAACACAGTCAAATGATGGGAAAGAGTGAGTGTGTGGGAAATACACCCTTTCCTCTGTTGTCATGACAAGGGGGCCCCTCTTATAAAACAGCCACCGGCACCGTGAATGGCGGGAATGACAACTACAAATATGCAGAGCTGCCTTTTCGTCTTCCGGGTCATGAGACCGAGAAGGAATGAGAGAAGGAATGACTCCCATTTCTCCTGCTTTGCTCAGCCAACTGCATTAAAACCTTTTCCCCCCTCTGCTCCATATTTGGAGAGCCCGCAGATGTAAGGCACATCTGGCCTCCCTCCTGAGCTTCCCTCCCCCCCTTCTCCCTGTCCTGAAGCCGGTGCTCAACCTCCCCGCAGCAATGAGCTCACTCACCGACCGGGAAGGGGGAGGCAAGGAAGGAGGAGCGGCCCTCCTTCGCTGGAGGGGTGCCATCATCCCCGCGGTGGCCTCCTTCTGCCACCCCATGCCACCCCCGAGGCTGCGGGCTGGGATCCGGAAGGCACCCAGGAGGAGCCGGCTTGCTCCGGGCTTCCACATGCTTGTCAGCCTCGCCTGCCCGGAAAAGAAAACACAACTGAGAAGGGGAGGAACCTGGGGGTCAAAGGCACAAGGCTGCCCCCACATGGTGCCGCAGAGGACATGTGGCTTTGGGACTTCTTCTTGGCCTTGTTCGAATTAACTTGCTCCTAGGAAAATAAGAAATATGCTCCGCAGTGGGGTCTGGAGACACCTCCAACTCCCCTCCGTTTCGGCTGCTGCTGAGCAGATTCTGAAGAAGCACACACTGCTTCCTCTCCCCTGGCAAGCAGATCCGGAGTGGGGTGTGTGCATTTTATTTTATTATTTAACTTATATGCCGCCCACACTACCCCCAAAAGCTTATAACATTTAAAATGCAATAAAAAGACGAAACAATTAAAATGCAGTAAAAATATGCAACCTTCCTGGCCAGGATCCACCCCCCTCCCTTTCTGCTGCTGCTTCACAATCTGAAGCAGCCCACGCACTGTTCCTCCTCCCCTGGCAAGCAGATCCAGAAGTGGGGTGTGCATGCACCTCCATGCCCAGGCTTCAACCCCCTTCTCATGGTGCCAGAGGACATCCTGTGCCTGGTGCTTTGGGACTTCTTATTGGACTTCTCCGAGAAGAAAATTAATTCGGGACTGTAAGCTTCAGCCCACAGCGTTTCTGTCAAATTCAAGATGCGTGGGAGCTCATAAAAATGGACCAACACAAAGACTGCCCCGGGAGCATCCTGGGCTTTTCTTTGCCATCAGCAAACAGAAATTTATTGCCATGTTATTACTCTGGCATGGAGAAAGCTATTGAATTTCCCTCCCTCTTGGTCGGAAGACAGAACAATTCCGCCAGGGAAAAGTTTGGTGTATATTTTGATGATGTGCAGACCGATGATGCTTCTCGCTAGCATGATTTGCTGCTGAACCTGTTTGCCATGGATGGGATAAGAGGAGGAAAAGCTCTAGAGTAAAATTTATGAAGCTGGTAATAAAATGCATTCTGAACAAGGTAGATCCAGTTTGGAAATTATGGACTCTGGGCATTCAGATTATGAGTTGAAGGATTACTTTGGGAACAAATATTGTGGCATTTAAAATTCTAACAAGTGTATTTCAGTTTCAGCTGAAATGGATGAAAATCTACATCATCAGATGCAAGGAGTAGATTTAGATCCAATCAGTCTTCAGAATGCTACGATTATTTTGCCTTTTTTCTCCCACCCCCCCACAATCGACACTGTTCCTCCTCCCCTGCAAGCAAATCTTAATATTAAGGGTGCCAGTAATTTTGGCCAGTGCATTTTTGGGTTTCTGTGTGGGATTGTACCAGATCTGACTTTGCTTCTCCTTTTTTGTGTCTTGTTCCAACACAAACCAAAGAAATTAACATGTGAGTACCAACACATTTGCAACGGTAACCATTTTCCGAGAGAAGAGTTGCAGTTTCTGACGAAAATGCAAGGGTGCCAATATTTTTGGCCATGACTGGATCTACCCAGTTCTGTGCCAACTTTCCCCTTTGTAACACACACACTCTATTTGTTAATTGCCAAGTTGGAAGAGTAAAGAGAATGCATCTACCACATCTTTATAAATGAGTTAAGAGATGCATCAATTAAGTTTAATTGAACTTGAATTTTAAATACATTCTTCTGTTTATTTAAACATTCGAGTCACCCCCAGTGGGGCTGAGGAAGAGAGAGATGATTCAGCTGAAGAGAAAACAGAAGGGCAGGTATGCCAAAGGAGAGTCACACATGAGGAAGCCAGAAAGCCACTGAACCACAGGGAATCCTTTCAACTTCAAATCCTGCTAATTAATTCTTTCCAGCACAACCCCTGCCATTTACACCTTTGCAACACTTTGAATCTGTGTGCCATATGCAAATACCACCAGCTTTAGCTACGACATATATTAAGAACTAAGCATGCCTATAAGCTTTAGCTCTTGCATTTATTTCTTATTCACTTATGCATTGTTTTTCTCCCTATGTACAAAACTCCAGGTCCTTTAAAACATTGAAAAATTAGCAAATAAAATAGAACAAATCATTAAGATGATTAAACAAGAATTAAAACTTGTTACATCACTGCTAAACATTACTACCACCCACCATCCCATAATTCAAATGTCAAAGGCTATACAGTAGTGCCTCACTTACCGAGCGCCCTCTGTTTAACTATGAATCCGCATAGCGATGGCTTTTTTGCGATCGCAAAAGCGATCACATTGCAATGTTTTATATGGCCAAACATTGCATTGCAATTATCAGTAAGCGTTTCGCTTACCGATTTTCACTTAACGATGTTTAAAAAACAGCTGATCGGAGGTTCCAAAATGGCCGCCCACAGCGTTTTCGCGCCCTTTCCTTGCTTACCGGGCAGCAAAAAATGGCGGCCAGATGGAGGATTTCCACATAGCGGTGAGTTTCCCCCCCACAGGAACACATTAAACCCATTTTAATGCGTTCCTATGGGGTTTTTTGCCCCGCATAGTGACAAATCCGGATAGCAATGATTTTTTCCGCACGGATTATCATTGCTATGCGGGGCACCACTGTATATTCCAGGCCTATTTCAATTAATGGCATTCACAAGGGGCCAAGGAAGAAGGGAGAGATCCTCTCCATCGTTAAGTATCTTTGCTAAAAACTAAGATTAACTGTTCTTCTCAACCAGCCTCCTTGTCCCCCTCTCTCCAGAAGGCAACCTGGTCTAAATAGAAAAATGCACCGGTATGTGTTTTCATGGAATGGTTGTGAGATGCGAGGCAAGAGTGTCGCCCTCCCTCAAAAAGGAACAAGAGGCACAGACAAACCCACCTGCACCGCCCATCGAGACCAAACAGCGGGGAGTTGACACCCAGGAGTTGGAGCAGGAACTGTTAAAAATGACAGTGGCCACCCAGATAGGGGGTGAATTGGCAGGAAAGGGGGAGGTCTGTCGTAGAGGCGGGAATGAGAGATATAAAAGGAGAGGTTGACTTAATACGGGGGTGGGGGATGATATTGGTAGAGGACCCTTGGACCGATAAATGGCAAAAGGTATGGGTTCCCCGAGAGGAAGCCGATTATCGGAGAAGAGGGCTACCACAATGTCCTTCCTATTGGGGAGAGTCTGAGGCCAGGAAGTGGTGCAGACGACTCAGGAAGGAGAAAGAAGTGGTGTCTAGAGAAGAGAGAGAACAGCGGTTATGGCGTTTAGAGGAAGCCCAGAGGAGGGGCTACTTAACGGTCCGTGGACCCCTCTACGAGACCACCTACGGGATGGAGATTCGAGACGATGAGACCACCCTGCTTTGGAACACGGAGATGGAGATTTGTGCATTAGAAAACAGTAACCCGGTTTTGAAAGGACCTTGGGACGAGTTAAATAGCAACTCCTTCGTTAAATTGGACCTGCTGGCGACAAGAGAAAACGCAGAAGCTGAGTTCGGGCAAAAAGATTCATATTCCAATAAAAACTAGTTATGATTTTACCACGGGAGTGTCTCCAGAGTCTCAGTTGAACATCAGGGAGGCAATATGCGAACCCTCACAATGGTCCCTAGTACTCAACACCAAGATTATCTCTCCAAATTCATCTGGGTCCTTAGAAGATGGCCACAAAAGCACCAATATAAAGCCCTCCCAAATTTATCTATGGTAGCAGAAGGCTCAGTCAACAGCATCAGGAAGAGTCTGCCCTGAATATCGACTAGGCAAGGAACTTGCCTAAAGCAGTGATTCTCAAGGTAGGATGTGGTGGTCTAGAAGAGATGAGAAGGGCTATAAAAGGATAGGGAGTGGTGCCCAAGGGGAACGGCTCCCTGGCAAAACTTCTGCCTCCCATCTGGACGACCCACCTCCGTGTACAACTTCAAGGAGAAAACACACACACACACAACAACAGGGCAGGCCAAGGAAATGGAGGAGCGCAAGTCCCCAGATGCAGAGGTCTGGCCAAGCAGGCAAGACCTGAGCAATTGTCCCCGAGTGCCTTTTTAAAAGTTAAGATAGTTTTTAGGGTTCCCTTGCTTTTAGTTATTCAATTGCATTTTAATTCGTGCAGTCTAATTGTTTTCAATGTTTAACTTATCAAGGTTTTGAATTCCATTCTTTCAATATTGTGAGCCACCTTGGGTCCCCCCTCCCTTATCAGGAGAGAAAAACAGCACATCAAATGAAACAAAAATAAATATGTGGACAGAAAGTCTTTTCCCTAAAACAAACTCAAGAGAGGGAGGAGTGGTGGAGGAAGCGGTTCCTATATTCTCCTCCTCCTCATGGTGATGCAGAACATCTGCACTGGGGGGGGGGAAAGGACCCAGTTCCAGCCTGCTCAAGGTGAGGATGCAGGAGAGATGGATTCCTCTACACACACACATCACGAACTCCCTAGAGGCCAAGACAACCCGAGGTCCATTCAGATCCAGAAAGAGGGCGAGAGGAAGCAGCACCAAAATGGTGGACACCTTCATCCAAAGCTACTGGTGGCAGAATATATTTGGGTGGGGGACATAGGATCCTAAGCAAAAGGACCAGAGAGAGGATAGGGCATGGGAAGGGGACCACGGGCGGCCAAGGGGGAAGTAGGCGCTCCCAGACACAAACTGGTTCAATTCTTCCGGTGGTTCCTGGTTAGCCACAAACCATCAGCTTCCCAGTTTGTGCGCTCTGTTGTTTTAAACATATTGAAACAACCTGAGGGTTTTTTTATGGGTAATGTCTTTGTCCATCAAGTGTGTTCTACATCCTGAGGGGAGCTGAGAGCATTTTCCATGCCGCATATATAGCCTTGAACGGTGGACAATATTTAAAAATTCACTATAAACCTGGCTATTTAGGCAAGCATTCAAAAACATCAGACCTGCAAGCTCAGTAACTAGCCTATCTGTCCAATGTCTGCCATCATCTTAAACGTTTTAATGGCTTTGAACGTTCTTACATTTTATAAATTTTCATGTATTTTATGTTCTTCTTGGTGGTCTCTGTGAATATACATTAATGGGTTTAATCTGTGCCTGCAAATTAAACTTGAAGAATTACGAGTTAC